GTTATGCATGTCATCATTTCATATCATAAATAGCACACAAGACAAATCAATGCCATTACAGACAATACCACATGTATGTACTACATCAATCGGCAGGGTAGAGTCTGGTCTACTTCCCTCTGTATAGAAGCATTGAAACTATGGAATTGGTGCAAAGTTGGCAACTCTTAATTGTAAGTCATTCTATACAGAGGGGAAAAGACAATGATTCAAGGGTGGGAACCTTTGAAACTGACTGCACAGCCTCTAATTATAAACAATCCACATGAAAATACTTCACAAATAGGAGATTGTTATGAATACTTATGTCACGGATTATGTCCTGGAGACAATCATATAATTATGTCATGGAGAAAATCAACAAGACTCTTTTTATCATTCACAGAGCGATCCAAGGGTCAATCCATCTTGCACCCACACACTATTTACAAGACACAACCACTAGATACCACCACTACTCATTTTACTAGAGTGGTTGCCTCCACAACAGCCTTCCTCAAAAACATGCCTTTAGAGGACATTTGCAAGGCAGCCACTTGTTATCTGACCACACCTTCACCAAACACTAAGCTCTTACCTCCACGATCACTCCATCTGGGGTGCTTGGACAAACAGTACTATTCTCAATCTCAGGGGCAGGGCTGCCATCATGATACAAACTCTGCTCTGTAGTCCCCCAGAGTGGAGCACCCACAGGGACATCACTCAAAGAAGAAAAGAGAGTTACTCACCCTGTGCAGTAATGGAGGTTCTTCAAGATGTGTGTCCCCATGGGTGCTCCACTACCCTCCTTCCTTCCCCTGCTTTGGAGCTTCTTCCAGGGCTAGAGCTAGGGTAGAGAAGGAATGGAGGGGCCATGCCGCGCACATGCCTAACTGACACCAACGGCACGAGGAGACATCTCGGCACTGCTGGAAAAATCTCCGGTCGCCAGTGTGAGGACACAGCAGCAGCAGAGTGACGCACCACGGGGACACACCTCTAACGAACCCCTGTTACTACACAGGGTGAGAACTCTCTTTTCCTCTGACTACTACCAGAGTATGCATTCATTTCCTGGGGCAAATGGTGGCTATTAACACGTGGATTCTTAAGGGAGCCAGTCATAATGGTCTATAGTGTGTTTTGGTGAACTGTAGCAGAGGGGGGGAGCTAGTACCCCAACTTTCAGTGACTCACAAACAGGTAATTCCATTTTTGACAAAGTCAGATGAGGCTACTTGTAAGTATTCACCAACGTGAATAAGAGTTGTACTATTCTGAGCTTCTAAGCATATATTTATGAGTTTTTGCTTACCAGCAGAGGGCAGATTTCTCCTGCAATAAGATTGTACGCAGAAAAAATCCTCTTTTTATGCAGTGTTTGAGACATTCAATTTTATCATGTATTGATAACCGGTTAATGTTTCAACTTTTCATATTTTCTAAAAAGTTTCTGTCATTATAACAGTGAAAGTCCAAGTACATGCATTATTTCTGTTCCTTATTTTTGGACAATTATATTAATCTTATTTTCTATTTTTGGAACTTCTCTGGTATTTTGTAATGTACTCTCAGTATAGCTCTCTCTGTATTCAAATATTTTAAAGAACAATGGAACACAAGAATATTGTTTTCACTAGTCACTTCTAAAAAAATCTTTCAACTTGTTAAGGATAGCATATATTTTTGTACCAAAGGGTTCCTCAAGAAAAACTTTAAAATCTACTTTAATGGTGATGGTGTATGCCATTTAAGGCCCATTTTGATGCTGCATGTGGTAATTTGGCAAATGAACAATTACATAGGTAGGGTCCCCTGCCAATGCTATGTGGTGTGGGAAGTGGGGATCCCACCAAGGCTGTGCATAGGTCACTGCAGAAGGTGGTGTTCAGGTAGGCCACAGGAGGGGGGTCGGTCTATGGGATCAGTGATTACACAAATCAAATGGTTTATCACCCAGTGCAAATTAATTGATTGGGCTGCAGCTATTTCAGTGAAAGCTGATAGGGTAAAATCCACCACCTCTATGTATTTCATCTTTATGAAGCTGAATGACTTGTGTAAGGCAAAAATAGCATCAGTCTAAATGAAAAGAAAAATTGATCTGCAGTTTAACAATATAATGTAGTATAACATCTTTGAGAGATTATTTCTGTCATTTTCAGTTTGACAGGTAAAATGATTGGTTGTCCAGATGAAAATTATAAATAGTTGTAATTTTTAAATTTCCTTCTGTAAGGATCTCCATGCTATCTGCTGTAGTCCAGGGAGATTTTGTTTTACTCACCCTGATTCAGGATGGTTTTTAAGCATGTGAATACTTACTCGGTTGCTTAGAGTTTGGCACATGAACCCTCTTGCCTCAGTCTCACATCATGTCTTTAGAACAGGGGTGGGGAACCTTTTTGGATTGGGGGCTACTGACCCACAGAAAAATCAGTCAGGTGGGGGGCAGCGGGGACTGGAGTGCCAGCATGGGCTTCCCAATGCTGGGGGTGGGGGGAAGAACCTTGAGCCCCAGAGGCCAGATCCAAGCAAGCTGGGGACTGCATCTGGCTCCTGGACCTTAGGTTCCACACCCCTGTTTTAGAATAAGGGTTGATAAGATATTTTGTGGAACTGGATTAGACAACTAGTGGGGAGGGATACAAATGGGGCACCAGCCAAAAGTGGCCACATGCCTTCCCCACGTGACTCCTTCCCTCCCCTGCTCGGAGCCCCCATACTCACCCCATTCTGTCCCTTTTCCATTCCATGTTACCTGGGGTGTAGGTATGCCCTGCTGTACTGCAATGGGCAGCAAGCAGCATCTCACACAGTGTGGCTAGAGGCTGCCTGGGAGACTGCAGTCACCCCACTCCCTGTTTTCCCCATCCCAGCAAGTTACCTAGTGCAGGGGTGTCTCCTCCTGCTGTGCTGCACCAAGGAGGGCTGCATCCCTTCCCAGTAGCATGACTGGAGGCTGCCTGGGAGACTTCAGCAGCTGGGCAGTGTGGATGGAAGAAGCGAGGCTCTGGCCCTGCTTGTACCCCTTCAGCTCTGCCCTGGTTGGCTGCTGACCCCAAATACTATGGAGAAGGGGGTAAGGGGTCAGTAGCAGTGTTCCCTCTCAGCTGCCTGGCAGCACAGCTTCACAGGTGATTAATCAGCCCCATCCAGTCAGAGGCTCAGGGCTCCATGCATGGAGCTGACTGACTGGGCGGGGCTGATTAATCACCTGTTAAGCTGTGCTGCTACTTGGCTGAAAGGGGAACACTGCTACTGACCCCTTGCCACCTCCTCCACAGCATTTGGGGAGGGTCATGTGACTCTTTGAACCCCTCCCCCTTATCACACTTTTTCATGGAAAAGTTTAAGCTGTCATCAGTTATTGCAGATTTTGAGTTCACTGCCCATGACATTTTGAAGGCGTACATTTTCCTCTTTGCAGATTATATTGTGAAATATAATTGTAATTTAACAATTTTGTTTGACATCTTTGGCAAGTTTGACTTGTTGGCAGAAGGAATTGAAAAACCAATATACAGAAAGTCCTGCACGCATTTATTATAATCTATAAAAAAAACTTCAGAAGCAGTTAAGGTTACTACTCATGCACCATATATCCATGAAAGAAAGAAAGAAAATAAAGTTGATCCATTTAACAATACATATTCTCTATTTCTTCATCATCAAACTCTCACTCACCATTATCTTAACACAGACTAGGCATGGCAAGCTTAACTGTTCCCTTTTTTCATACTTCTGTGCACATCTGACCCCAGTATTTGTGAATGTTTAGTGCTTTAGGCCTGGTCTACACTAGGACTTTACATCGATTTTAGTCGCATATGGTCAATTTCCTAAATGATGCATCCACTCTGCTAAGCCTGTCACATCAACCTTAAGAGCTGCTGTAATCGATTTAAGTACTTCTGCTTTCCATGTGAGGAGTCACTCCATTCCTGACCTTGCACGGTAGAAGTTAAGGGAGTGTAGATGCCAGAAATTCCACACTATTGGCACACAGGGTCCTCCCGCAGACCCCTGCACTAACTGCTTGTGCCTCTACTGCACTCCCACTGACCTAAAAAAATCCCAGGAACAGTAGAATGGCCTGTCCCATCTGGCCAGAGCTGCAAGCCTGTTCAGAGCAAGCAGCACACCGAGGCACATATGGAAATGACTCCCAGCAATCCTTTGAACACTGAGACAACTTTGAAGATTTCTGCTCCCACGGGATCCAGTTCCCAGGGGCACAGAAGAGTGTTGGTGTGGAGTGTCCAGGGAATCTTGGACTTTGAGGTGTGGAGCGATGAAGCCATTCTCACCCAGCTCCGAACCAGCAAGAAGAATGCCAAGATTTACAGCAGGATTGCAAGCTGCCTGGGGCTAAAGCCTATTCCAGGGACACTCGGCGATGCAGAGTAAAAATCAAGGAGCTGCACCGGTCTTACTATAATGTGAAGCAGGAGAGCAGACGGTCTGGTGTAGCACCTCACATCTACTGCTTCTATGACCAGCTAGACACTATCCTGGGGGTCCCAGACAGCTTCCCTAGTGTGGTCATGGAGTCAGGCCAAGTCACACCTGGCATCAGCCTGGAGGAGTGGGGAGTGGAAGAGGAGGAGGAGACTAGCCAACCAGCAATCCCTGAGAGCCAGAAGCTTGTCATGATGCTGGAGCCAGTCCCCGCCCTCCCAGGACATCTCCCAGTCCAGCATAGAAAAAGTCCTGTTAGCCCTAATTATGTCTTTTGAAAAATTTGACTATTTAAACTGTTAAAAGATATGTAAGAGGCTCTTTTATGGCTGAATAGTTTTACTAAATGATTTACATGTGTATATGATAAATGTTTTTGAGCCTGGCACAGCTTTCATTTAGTTCCATAGAAACATAGACATTTGGAGGCATGCTGTGATCCAGAAAGACTATTTGTGGGAGTTCTCACTTAGCATGTGTTGAGATTATTCATAAACAAATAATGTATCTCCAGTAATTATTGAAGTTCTAATTTCTTTTTAATTTTTTTCTTTTAGTTCAAAAAACATCGTTCTTCCCATGTTTATACAAACAACTTTGCAAAGTCCGTGGTTAACCTTGTAGATGCCGTAAGTATCTGAAAACTATCTCACTGAGTTAATTATTTTAAGTCATTATATGGAAAGTTGACTTTACAGACATTAGGATGAAATAAATGCACTCAGCTCCTGTTAAATAGTTGAAAAATAATTTTACAGTTTCTATGCAGAGGACTGATTCAGGCTGTTATGTAGAAAGATTCCTATCCATAAGAAACCACAGATTTATTTATTTTTTTGTTTTCTCAAAGCTTCCACAGATTTGCTCTCTGGAGTGTGAAGGAGCTTTCCACATGAGTTGCTGATTTTTGTGTGTGTTTATATATATATTGTGGCAAAGCCCCAGCTATTCCCCATGGGTCTTGCACTACTGGTGGTTAGTGTTAGCCTCAGAGCCGTGCTGTGGCCCTCCACACAGACTCTTTCTCTTTACTGAAGACAGGAGCCACGGCCTACTGAGCCATACTCATCACAGGCTAGTTTGGGGTAAAATTCCATCTGGAATCCTGATCTCCCTTCTCAAGGCACATTTTGAGATGTCATGGGGAGGTTGGGGGGAACAGACAGGGTTACTACTACTCTCAATCTAGTATCTTTTTCCTGGGCCACTTCCCCAAACAATCCTTCCTAGTACCTACTAGTACTTCCCCTTTAGTACTTGCTTATCAGTTCTCAGCTCATACCCACAAAGCTCCTCCACACAGCACTTCCTGTCCTTTGCTCTTTTCCTTCTTCCTCCCTTCCTTGTCTATGGGGAGACCTTTTAAAGCAGCACCACAGGCCTTAATTGGCTGCAGGTGTCTAAATAGCCTGTGGCTTCTAGCAAGTTCTAACTGACCCCAGGTGTCTGCCTCATTATGCTGGAATTAGGCTTGGTCTTTTTTTTACTCAGGAAAGAGAAAACTGTTTACTCAAGTGCCAGCATGTATTCCCTCCACCAGTGGAGGCAGATGGCTGGTCTTGGTCTGTCATGAGTTGTGTGAGGATGTGTTGCAGGATAGCTTGACAGCACAAACACCATCAGATACCAGGTGTGTACCCTGCAGATACAGAGGTGACGGATAAGGAAAATCACTGAGAGTCAGAAAGATTGGGGGAGGTAAACACCTGCTAAGGAGACAGAGACTTAGTTGAAAGGTTTAGCTTGGTTGCCTTACTGCCTACAGAGGCCACCTGAGTCTGAGAGAGTTCCTCCTCTCAATTTTCCCCACAAGCTGATGATGAGTGGCTAAATTAGACTGAGGTAAAGGGACCAGATTTAGAATTGTAATGAGCCATTCAAGTGAGCATCTAGGGCCAGAAGTTGCCATTTTTTCCCCAAGAGAGGAAGAAAAATATCAAACTACTGCTACCCAGAAGCGCAGGACTCATGGTGGGTATAGGAGCTTTGTCACAATATGCATATGATAGGAAGTGAACTGGTTTTGTATGAAACATAGTCTATAAACTGAAACCAAGATTGGAGAGATAAAAATATGATTTCTCTTTCTCAGTTTGTATATATTATGACAAAGTTCCAACTGGGGCATCTGGCATTGGCCACTGTTGGAAGACAGGATATTGGGCTAGATGGACCTTTGGTCTAACGGAGTATGGCCGTTCTTATGTTCTCAATTTAGGCACCATTTCTAGGGCATCCACTTGCTGTTTGTTGAGCTACTTTCACCATTGGCCAGCATGAGGAACAGAGGGAAACCAAATCCTATAGTCTCAGTGAACCCTCCAAATGATACAGAGCTGAATAATCCCCTTTTTCCCCAGCCAGACTTTTCGCTGAGTGGAAATGGGGAGTTGGTAATGAGGGGAACTTGTCCCCCTCCCCACACTCTACGTTCTAGCCTAAGGCCTGGTAAAAATAGTTTTCTGTAACACACCTTTCCCAGCACCTCCCTTATCACAGGCTCTTCCTCCTGGTACCCACTTGTGCTTGCTCCTCCTAGGTCCTCCACAGCTCTCTCTGGGTATGTCTAGACTACATGGCTCTGTCGCCAGAGCCATGTAGATTAGTTTACTAGACATACCCAAATGAAGCAGCGATTTAAATAATCATCCCACGAGGCATACCGGGGAGGTTGACAAATGCCTTTGATGTCGACCGCAGAGCGTCCAGACTACAGCGCTGTGCCGCCAAACAGCTGATCGGCACGGCGCAGCAGACATTTTAATTTAAATGAAGTGGCGATTATTTAAATTGCCGCTTCATTTGGGTATGTCTAGTAAACTAATCTACATGGCTCTGGCGACAGAGCCATGTAGTCTCAACTCCTCACATACCAAACTACCTGCAGTGGTGCTCTTTTTAACTAATATCAACTGGTTCTTAATTGGCTCCAGGTGTTCCAACTAGCCTTGCCTCACTTGACTCTGGAAGCCCACTTAATTGGCTCCAGGTGCTTAATTGCCCTGATTGATTCTGGCAAGTTCCAGCTAGTTCTCGGCTAGCTCTTATTAGCTCTTATTAATCCTTGGGAATAGAGATTTCCTAACCTAAGGCTAATATACTTCCCTTCCATCATTCTACCTCACACGACCCACTGAGGATATCAGCTGGAGCATCCTCCATGGCACTATGAGCACGGGCATGTACTTGATACAGTTTCTCCTTTCCCTGATGCTTGCCTCTTTTGCGGTGTGAGGGAGACCTTGGCACACATCTACCTTGAGTGCACCACATTACAGCTGCTTTTTCAGCTCCTCCAGAACCTCTTGTTGAGGTTCTGGCTGCACTTTTCACCTCACTTACTGATTTTGCACGCCACATCCATTGCCCTACAAAGTCGCAGGACCTCCTCATCAACTTCCTCCTGGCTATGGCCAAAGTAGCCATTTGTAAGACCAGGGAGAAAAAGTTGGTTGAGGAAGGAGCCTGCAACTGTGGGATCTATTTCATTTTCTCTCTCTGCTCACACATCTGGGCAGTGTCCACTGGCTTCCTTGATGCTTTCAAGGAGCAGTGGGTGCTGTTCAGGGCTCTCTGCTCGGTATCCCCATCCAGTTCTTTTGTTCTGGCTCTTTGACCTTCACACCCTATTTTTATTTTCATTTTGTCCCTCATAATCAGTTGGAGTCAAGGGTTCGGTGGATCCTTCCTGTAGGCTGGAAGAGAGTCATAGAATCATAGAACTGGAAGAGACCTCAAGAGGTCATCAAGTCCAGCCCCTTGCCCAAGGCAGGACCAATCCCAACTAAATCAAACCGGCCAGAGCTTCGTCAAGCCGAGACTTAAAAACCTCTAGGGATGGAGATTCCACCAATTCCTTAGGTAACCCCTTCCAGTGCTTATCTCTAGGGATGGAGACTCCACTACTTCCCTAGGTAACCCATTCCAGTGCTTCACTACCCTCCTAGTGAAATAGTTTTTCCTAATATCCAACCTGGACCTCTCCCACCACAACTTGAGACCATTGCTCCTTGTTCTGCCATCTGTCACTACTGAGAACAGCCTCTCTCCATCCTCTTTGGAACCTCCCTTCAGGAAGTTGAAGGCTGCTATCAAGTCCCCCCTCACTCTTCGCTTCTGCAGACTAAACAGACCCAAGTCCCTCAGCCTCTCCTCGTAGGTCATATGCTCCAGACCCCTAATCATTTTGGTTGCCCTCCGCTGGACCCTCTCCAATGCGTCCGCATCCTTTTTGTAGTGGGGGGCCCAGAACTGGACACAGTACTCCAGATGTGGCCTCACCAAAGCCGAATAAAGGGGAATAATGACATCTCTGGATCTGCTGGCAATGCTCCTCTTAATGCATCCTAATATGCCATTAGCCTTCTTGGCTACAAGGGCACACTGTTGACTTATAGCTAGCTTCTCATCCACTGTAACCCCCAGGTCCTTTTCTGCAGAACTACTACTTAACCGGTTGGTCCCCAGCTTGTAACTATGCTTGGGATTCTTCCGTCCCAAGTGCAGGACTCTGCACTTGTCCTTGTTGAACCTCATCAGATTTCTTGTGGCCCAATCCTCCAATTTGTCTAGGTCACTCTGGACCCTATCTCTGCCCTTAAGTTTATCTACCTCTCCCCCCAGCTTAGTATTATCCGCAAACTTACTGAGGGTGCAATCCATCCCCTCATCCAGGTCATTAATAAAGATGTTGAACAAAACCGGTCCTAGAACCTGTCCTTGGGGCACTCCGCTAGAAACTGACTGCCAACCTGACATCAAGCCGTTGATCACTACCTGCTGGGCCCAGCCTTCTAGCCATCTTTCTATCCATCTTACCGTCCATTTATCCAATCCACATTTCCTTAACTTGCTGGCAAGAATATTGTGGGAGACCGTATCAAACGCCTTGCTAAAGTCAAGGTATATAACATCTACTGACTTTCCCATGTCCACTGAGCCAGTTACCTCATCATAGAAGCTAATCAGATTGGTTAGGCATGACTTGCCCTTTGTGAATCCATGCTGACTATTCCTAATCACTTTCCTCTCATCCAAGTGCCTCAAAATAGCCTATTCCACTTATGGCCAAGCACCTCCATTGCAGCTACGGGCGACCTCTACAGCCTACATACACAGCATCCTGCTCATGGACATGTGCACATCAGCAACGTGGCCCTCCTCTCACATGTTCCCTAGACATTATGCTCTGGACAGCCACCCCTCCTGCGGTACCCACTTTGGACACACTGTCCTAACTGCTGTGCACAATAATAACCAACCGAAGCACCTGCCTCCATCACAGGTACTGCTTCTTAGTCACCTAAGGTGGAGCACCCACAGGGACACTTCTCGAAGAAGAAGAGAGGATTACTCACCTTGTGCAGTAACAGAGGTTCTTCGAGATGATTGTCCGTGGGTGCTCCACCACCTGCCCTTCCTCCTCTCTGCTTTGGACTTGCTGGTTTCTTCTTTCAGGGTAGAGAAGGAACTGAGGGGACAGTTGGCTGCACAGGCATCGTAGCAGCACCATACCAGATGGGAGGAGAAGGGGAGCCTACCCACTCCTCTAGGTTCCAGCCCAGGGACCCTAAGGCAGTACCAACTGGCAATGTTTCCTCCACTCCCAGTCTTGCAGCCTCTCCCTGGGCTACTTCCCCAAATGATCCCTCTAGTACCATATCCCTAGTCCCTGAGCAATCTTTCCTTTTCCTCCACAGCACCTATCACACTCCCAGTCCTTTGTTCTCTCAGTGTAACTCCTCACTCTCAGTCCTTGGCCTTTCTCTGCCTTTCCTGAGAAGTCTTATAAGAACTAGGGGTTAGCAAATGAAATTAATAGGCAGAAGGAAGTTTTTCTTCACTCAGCGCAGTCAACCAATGGAACTATTTGCCAGAGGACATGGTAAAGACCAGAACTTTAACAGGGTTGAAAAAAGAACTAGATAAATTCATGTTGGTTAGGTTCATCTATAGCTAGTAGCCAGGATGGATAGGAATGGTGTCCCTAGCTTCTGTTTGTTAGAGGCTGCATATGGATGTCAGGCATGGGATCACTTGATGAATACCTGTTCTGTTCACTCCCTTTGGGGCATCTGGCATTGGCCACTGTTGGAAGACAGGATACTGGGCTAGATTGACCTTTGATCTGACCCAGTACGGCCGTTCTTATGTTTTTATGTTCTTATGTTCTTTAGTTTATTAACTATGAAAGATACATTTTAAGTGATTAAACTAATAAACAAACAAAAATGCTAACTAAGCTTAACGTATTGGAAGGATAGGATTAAAATTAACAGTCCCTCACCCTAACTGGTACAAGCAGTCTTGCAGATTCTTAAGGCACAAGCTGCACTTGCTTTGCAGTTTGGGATCCCTGTTCCTGTTTCAAGTTCTTTTGTTTTGGAGCTTCTCGTAGGTGTTCAGTTGTGGGACAGTGAAGAACAGCCAATGATGTCATTTCCCTGCCTCTTAAAGCTTCTTCAAATGCCAGCAACCCTTTTTTTCAAACTTGGTTCCCAGACCATTTTGGGGTAAAATACTGGGGTCCAGAGCCGTGTGGTGGTGTTAGATGTCCTTGCAGAGTCATAGCAGCCATTACTTTTTGTCTGGAGCATTTTCAGGAAGGCTCAGCTCTTCCATAGCCCATTGTCTTGGATGAAGAACCATTAGCACTGTTTGGCTTCTCCATTGTTGCAACTATGGCTGTTCTCTAGAGTAAGCCCATTTGAAATATAGATCCATAGTCAATATTTTTAATTTCAGATACAAAAATCATACATGCATACAAATAGGATAATCATGCAAATCATAACTTTTCCACTGACACTTGACCTATCTTGTACAAAATATATAATTATGCCATAATTAAAACAGAATTATACAACTAGGAAGAATATGGGATGCAGTACAGTGCAAAAGAAGAAATGTGCAGAAAAATTATTGCAATTTCAACTCTGTTATAAATTTGTTGTGTATGCCAGAACTGTGAGAAAATGAATTTGTTACAAATCAGCACTTAATGATGTAGCAGAGCTAGTGTACTCCAATATTGACTATGTAGTATGGTTAGTTGAAGTATCTTGTTTCTGTGCTATCTAATATAACACATCTAAGCTTGCTTAGGGTACAGCTGAGCAACAGCTGAGAGGTGTAATTCCTAGTTCAGCTAGATGTACATGCACTAGCTCCACTTGAGCTAGCCTACTAAAAGAAGCCGTGTAACTGTGGCTAATGAGTGGCGTGTTAGACCAATTGCCTGAATACAGTTCAGTCTGACACCCTGAGTATATACTTGGGCATTTAGCTTATGCCTCCTCCACCCGTGCCACTATGTCCACACTGTTTTTTTAGGCATTTGTCTTGAGTGCATGTTATGTAGATGTATCTCTGGTAGATATTTGTCCCCAAATTCTTAAATTATAGATAACTATGCAGTCCTTACAGGTGGGCTGACTATTGCACTAGGTGTCAATGTTCATGAATTTAATGTAATTCCAAGAGCATATATGTGCTGTCTGAATTACAGGCAAAAAGTCTGTTTTACATTTGTTTAAATAATTTTAACAAATGATATTACTCTCAAAAGAGGATAACAAAGATGCTACTTGATTTATTTGAGTATAAAAAGAGGTTTCTATAAACAAAGGTTGGAAAGAGGCATTTCTTTATTATATAGATATTAGTTTCCTGAGGGCTGTAAGTTTGGGAGTTGGTGTGGAATAAGTAGGAATAAGGGATCTTCCGGAAAAGGGCTTATTTTCCAGAGAATCGCGCCTACACTGGCGCTTTTCTCTGGCAAAAACCCCGAGCCGGAAAAAAGCGGCAGCCATGTAAATGCAAATGCCGCGGGGGATATGTAAATCCCCCGCGGATTTGCAATTCCGAAGTGTCTCATTGGCATCCCTTTTCCGGAAAGGGATGCCAATGTAGACAGAGCCTTAGTGTATCTTGAGGAAATTTCTATGGGGAAATGTAGATATTCCTATGTAGTGACTGGTTACTCAAATGAGAAACACTAAAGGGGAAAAGGAGGTCAGTACTGAAATGTAGAAAATTGATTTTGTTCTTTAGAATAGTAAATTTAATAAAATAAGATTAGCAGATTATAGATTTTTAGGCATATCAGCTAACTATTTCCCCATGTTTCCCTCTTTCTTTATCCTCCTTGTCCTTCCACTGACTCTGACTGGCTAATTGTGCATGTCTGACCCAGTGTTCTACTCCTGTGCCTGTCCTGTCTCTGCCCCCAGATATACAAGGAACAGCTGAATACCAGGGTGGTTTTGGTTGCTGTGGAAACCTGGACAGACAGAGATCGTATTAACATTCGCCCTGACCCTCTGCAGATGCTTCATGACTTCTCCAAATATCGACAGTACTACATCAAACAGCATACTGATGCTGTACATCTGCTCTCGTATGTACTATTAGATCATGATTTAATCTATTAGTTTTATACCTATGTAGGAAGTCTGCTTGCCTAGTAGCCTACATCTCTCTCTTCTTCTCTACCTGAATGTCAACCAACCTTTGCCTATATTTGCCAGTTTCTGGTATTTTAATCTAGCAGCAATCCCGTCTACAGAGTTCAACAAGGTATATTATGGGTATACCAATGTGTATTATGAAATACAACTGGTATTCACTTATTAATAGAGCCCACATATTTACCTTTGTATGTTCTAGCTATCTTTCATGAGATCTGATTAGATTTGATAGTTCTCTGTTTTAAAAAAATAGCTTGCATATACAGCTTATTTATCAAGGAACATAGCCCAGTAATCTCCTGAATGTTTTTCTATTGATTACCTTGTGATAGTTTTTATTTACTATATTAGATCCTCTTGCATAGATATTTCCATGGTGAGGCAGTAGACCCTAAAGCCATGGCTAGTTCACTGTAGCAGTAGCCATTTTTGTGGCTACTGCTTCAGAACTGGTTGGACACCACAGCCTTAAAGACATTCTTGAGATTCCAAGATGGTGCTGATATACTCCTATGGCTGAAATCAGTGCAGCTACAGGATTGAGTAAACATGGCTATTAGCATGCCCTTGAGGTTTTTGGACATGTCACCCAGCTCTACAGTTTACCATCAAACTAACAATGAGTAGCAAGATATGGCAGAACTGAGGGTGTATTCTACAGGAATATTCCATTGGCATATTTTACTCAGCTCTGTGGCTGCACTGCAATTAGTTAAAGGAACTCTTGCAGTTGTACATGCTTAAACCAGAAATGAATTTGACCTTTGAGGCTATACATTCTGGGGCAAATCCTACCTGCATGTCTGTGGGAATAGAAGAGAGGCTTCTGGCAACACAAACAGTGTTTTTGCTGCATGTAGTTGGGGGAAAAAAAGTAGGCCTGGGAGAGGGGCACATAGGGCATAGCTAGACTACGCGGAATGGTCAGAAGCGGATATGCAAATTCTACGGGACTTTGCATATCTTTTTCCGATCTCACTTCCGAAAGCCGAGCTTTTGAAAGTGAAACTAATTAAGATGCGGCTTTTTTGGCGAAAAAGCTGCTCTTCCTCAAAAAAGGAGGTTTACGTGGCTTTTCGACAAAGGGGGTTTGCCAAAAAAGCCGCATCTTAATTACTTTCACTTTCAAAAGCTCGGCTTTTGAAAGTGCGATCGAAAGAAGATATGCACATTTCTTTCGACCTTTCCCTGTAGTCTAGATGAGCTCCTAGGGTTGCACATCCATTGTGCAGTTCAGTCCCAGCATTGGCAGGGGCTCTCTGGTATGAGTGTGTAGGGGATCTGTCCATACACACATCCTCAGTTGTAGTCTCACCTGTGGAAGGTGAATGCTAGGGATTTAGCAGGCCTGCTGTTGGGGGCAGGACGGAGGGAGAGGCAAATGGGACAGTTGCCCCGGGGCCTGGCAATTCAAAGGGGCTCAGGGTTCCTGGCCACTGCTGCTCTACTGCAACAGTGACGGCCACCTGGAGCCCACGGACCTTTAAATTGCTGCTGAAGTGCTGTGTGCTCCAGGCAGCTCCGAAGGCTGGTCGGGGAAGGGAAGAAGTTGGCGATGTGCTCTGGGTGGCTCTGAGAGCTGGCAGAGAGGGGCAGCAAAGAGCTCTTTCTGTATTGGCTCCTCCCCTTTTGCCCCAGGTCCCACCTCTTCCAGGAGCTTGGAGATAGTCCCCCCCCTCACCTGTCTAGGGGCCCATGGAAACTGTTTAGAAGCTACTCCAACCAGCCGTATCTAGTGGGGCGTTTTTTAATGCCTCTTTACAGTCTGTACAGGGATGGTGTGAATTCCATCTCCTTAGCATCCAGCCAAGATAATTGGTCTGATTAGTGGTGTTTAGATTTATGCTCTTTATGTTTAAATTTTACATTAACAGTAGGAACAATTACATTTTTTGCAAGTATGGACATAGATATAGCCAAATGCTTTTAAGCACTTCCTTGCCCACAACTCTGGTATACTTCACTTCTGTGCAGAGGAGGGTTATTTCCTTTACTCTGTTAGGGCCTAGTCCTGGAACATTGCACATCCTATCTTCATTGTTTTAAATGGGAATTAGGGTTGGTATCTTGGTAATATTTAAAAAAACAAACAAACAAACAGATACTCCAGCAGGAGTGTTGGAACCTCCCCTGCTCTACCTGCTCCTGATACCCTGCCCCTCCCTTCCCCTTGAGGTCCCATTCTCATCCACTCCTTCCCCTTGGCTCCTCTTTCCCCCATCAACTCCCTTTGCCCTGTCACTCACTGCTTCCATATCACCACCAGGTCAGGAAGGACTTGCCTATGGAACCAGTGCCAGGAACTGCAGCTGCCTGATGCAGGCAGGAGACAGCCCCATCTAAGGGTACATCTAGACTACATGCCTCTGTCGCCAGAGGCATGTAGATTAGGCTACCAGACATAGGAAAATGAAGGGGCGATTTAAATAATCGCCGCTTCATTTAAATTTACATGGCTGCCGCGCTGAGCCGACAAATAGCTGATCAGCTGTTTGTCGGCTCAGCGCG